GAATATTTCCATGGAAAAATATGACATGATTATTGTCTCCCAAATGTTTGCCTTCCTAAGTACGATTACTTTTATGCAGAAACATTAAGTCAGAGGGACGAACACAGCTGGTGTCAATATATTTTTTTTCCGATTTTTCACTTAAACCCCACGGTATTGTTTAATTTCGTATTATTTCGCTTTAAAAAGGCACCAAAGCTTTAAGACCAAATTAATAATTTAAAACTTTCCATTAATGTATTTCTGTGAACATCGTGTGCTCAGTACTATTGAGCCGTGATTAAAATCCAGACCGAAAAAGCTGGTCAGTCAGAGTGGGCGTTTTCACTTCTTCTTTTCACGAGGCCATCAAATACAGGCGAAAAAGTTCGGTGCTGGAAGGACACAGCCATGTAGAGCCGGTACTTCTTTACAAACAATACAGGCAAGATTTTGAATAAAATAAATTCTGTAGTTATAAGTCGCCGGGATAAATAGCATTGTAATGATAAAAGAAAAAGAATGGAAGATTAGAGAAAGAAACCTGCATAATTTTGCCACTACGAAATTAGTTTGCATCGTTAATTCTAAAAATGCTATTACGTCAAAGTGAGGTGTCCTGAAAAGATAATTTCGATTGATTGCTCTGTCACTTTTAAAAGATTAAAATCTTTTCCGTGGGGGCGACAGTAATATCTCGAATTTGCCCCGTTGACACAAAATTTCGTGGGACCCCACAATCAAAGGACATAGCCACAAACAACAAACACGGTAAGACGCTCTCCGTTTAAAGTTATTGTACGCCTTTATTACTAGTTACTGTATTTGTTATTGGGTTATCTCTGTCTCTTACTGTTTCCGGCCGTAGGTTTCTTGTTCTTGATATTTTAATTATTTCTTCCTGTTTAGCTTGAGTAAGATCCCGTTTAGATCGTAGTTAGGAAGCTATACTAGACAAAATCACTGTTACCTAGTACCTGTTTATCTTTTTATGAGCCACTGAAAAAAAAAAATTGACAAGGAAAACAAAATTGACTATACAGTTTGGCTAAGAGCGTGATGTTATGGTTTTGGGTTAAATATCGTATCCATTTTATTTCGATCAATTTTGTGTCAAATACACCTGCTCGCTGGGGTGGGGGGGGGNGGACGCGCGTACAGCGCAGTTACGGCTGACACTGATAACAGGCCAACTGTTCCCAGGATTTATTATACCATTAACTGACAGTAGATGGGCATTTGAGAGGAAACAATGTATGACAGTCTTAAAGGAATATCTGATCTGACCAAGACTAATGAACGAGTAACATCATCCTGATAATATGAAGACTAATTCAGTAAAAATTTTGGTCTTCATTGTTCACTGAATTTAACAAACTTTTTGCAGGACTTAATGACGCCGCAATAAAGAAGTTAATATTTTTTGACCTAACTCCGTGCAAATATATATATATTTCTTTCATTCATATATTTTCCATTCATATTCAAATTTTTCACTCCTATATTCATATGTATTTTTTCATTCATATCTTTTTTTTTTTTTTTGACTTTCATTCATATTTTTTCATATATATCTTTTTCCACATATGTCTTTTTACAAATGTCGCCATGAAAACAGGTTTGTCACAGCGTTTAATCCGAGAAAGCGTCGTTCCAACCGTGCTTGATTTCAAAGTTTATAACTGGCATCGTTTCGCACAAACAACTAGTCTGATATTCGCTCAGTGTATGAAACTCGAGTTGCATTTATCTTCTGTATTTATTTCGTTATATTTTCCCCTGCATATTTCTTGTATAGAGCACTCTTAGGATAAGTGAAACAATTAACTCACTGTTTATCCATTTGTCTTTTTTTTTTTCACTCTATATATTTGTGAAGACCAGTCATCTAATGGACCTTGAAATTTAAATCAGTGAAAATGGCAGTAATAGATCACTACACTTCATCGTTTTTCGTGGCGTTGGGCATGAAAGCCACGAAACGTAGATACATCAGGTTTTTAACCGGCTGCGAAAGTACATCAATCATAACACGATGGCTTTGTATTTACAACGCTCAGCTCTACTAAATGTTATTGTAAAAAATATTCCATATAAATGGTAGAGTAGAACATGTTTACCCACAATAGGAGGCTCTAACTACAACTTACGCTGACTGCGAGTTTTAGAGAAAAGAAATGCATTTCTTTGGTGTCGCTTATTTATTGCAAAATTCCATGGCGTAAATTAAATCGAAAAAAGGTACGAAATTTTATCCTTACGCATGATCAATTCTTCGGCAAAAAAAGGAAAAAAGGACTTGTCTACTTACCTCCTCGAGCCATTTTTTTTTTTTATCAGTATTAAAATTATTCATTAATTCTTTATCCCTGTAATTTTAAATTTTTAAGCTTCAGTTTTTAATTCCGCGTTTAAGAGTACAGTCTGTTAATTACCGATGAAATACGTTATGGAAGACATGGACTTAAATTTCTGTCTTGGTGACGTGATTCTGAATATAACCAATTTGTCAATTTTACGGACTTTGCGTGTTGCTAAGAAAAGACAGGATTCAAAATTAAGCTTGACGTTCGCTGGCTGAAATGAACCCATCTACCAACAAGAACTTCAACAAAAGCATCCATTAACTTCATAGAAGCTGCGACACATTTAGGTTTTCCTCACAATGTGTTGCATAATAAAGACTATAGGCGGCAGCGTGGCTGAGTGGTTAGGACTTGTACTCCGGAGGTCGCGGGTTCAAGTCCCATTCTGACCACTAAGCTGGAGTTGTTTCTCGGTAGACCCCAGTTCAGCTCCTTGGTCATGCCTGTGAATATCCAAATGGTCTGCCTCCCACCAGCTGGGATTTCAAAGGCTATTATGTTTATTTGCAAAATGTGTTTCTTTCAGTTTAAGTCTCATACCTGAAAAGTAGCTAGTTGTAGCTAAGTACATCGACCACTATAAACATTCAACATTTAATTTTTTTTTAACATTAACCTCCCCACCCCCACCCCACGTACACCTCTTCATCCCCTCTAATAAAACATAACCTAGGAAACTTGACTGACGGTATTGTTGACAATTAAGATCCTTAAAAGCGTTGACAGCATAGTGATATTACATCGCCAGTTGAATAAAAACAAGCGGAAAATATAAACAGGAACTTCTACAGAACCCTCTAGGCATTTAACCTCCGAAATGCAATATAAAAGTTAGAACATTTGCGAAACATAGAGCTTTCGCTGTACGTACGTGGAACAGTTACTGTTTTTTATGGTAGCTATAATAGCTATCTTTCTTGTCATTTAAATCGATTTTTTTTTCTTTGATTTCAAGAAGTACGATTTCACATTAGAGAACTGAGAACTAAAACGTCTTGCCCAAACCATATAAACCTTTTTTGTTGGGTTTTCAAACCTTCTGAAGTAATTTTCTCCGATAAAAGATAATTATAATGTACGGCAAACTCTACACTTAAGATGACAAGTTAAAGCAAGCTAGTTTAGGCTGTCAAGACATACAAATTATTAAACGAAATTGAACCTACACAACTTTCCAGAAACGAGAAATCGACGTCCGTCATGGCACAATCATGATTCAAGAAGAATGCTGAAATTCTATCCAATTAAAAGGTTTTTGTAACCGAGATTCACCAGTATTTAAAGCGTTCAACAAGTTAACAATAAAAACAGAATGATTTAATTCTCAAGTCAGTCAATGATGTGAAATTGCTTTCATCTCTTCCGCTCGCGGGGTGAAAAAGTTGAAGGTTGTGGTTTGACAACTGAACTTTGAATGTGAGTAATAAAGATAATACCATCCGAAAGGACATCGTGCAATTTCAGTTGTAAGTTCAGTTTTTATTGGGCAAAAACCATGTACCAGAATAACGTTTAGTATTTTACAGTCCTTTTTGG